ATGAATGTCATTTTATTCAAGGGATGTTCTTGATGGTGTTTCTTCCCCTCAGATTAATTTATAAAATTTGGTGCTTACAAGAAAAGTTTACAAGGTGAATAGTAATGCTTTGATTAAAATTACAAGAGAAAACAAAAAGTGACAAGAAGATATGCTTTCCCTGGAAATCAGTGCCACCCACTGTCTGTGCCAGTATGTGTAGTGGTTAATTTTGTTATTAAAGGAAAAACATCCTAGATGTTGTCAGAATTTTAAAAAGATTTATTTATTTATGCATACAGAACCGGCCAGAGATGCAGGGGCAGTGAGAGGATTCACCAGAGACAGAGTGGGGAGCAGAACAGGTCAACTGACAAAGCACTATGCTGAGGGGAGCAGCAGGCTAGTCAGAAGAGGTCTGCTGCTCCATGTGGATCACTTCTGGAGTGGGGATCAAACTCATGCTGAAGTGGCTTTAGCTTCTTAGTGCTGTGCTTTAACCCGCTGCGCCACCAGGGAGGACCCAAAGATATAAGAATTTTTAAGGGCACTTGGCTTAGTATTGTAAAGTTGGAAACCTTCCAAGAGGGCAGAGGTGTCTGGCTCTTCTAGTGCATTTGCACTGGCTAAGTAGAGCCGGCAGAATAATTATGCTCCCTTCCACGCAATCCAGTGTGATGGGAAGCATTGATCTTGAGGTTTCCAGATACAAACATCTTGTTTTCAGGAGAATCCATTCTGAGCTGGTATCCTGAACATAATGTGTCTTAGGGATACAGAGAGAAAAGAAGACCCCATGATACCATGACCAACTCTGTGTCTAGTGCTCTAGGGAACTTACAAGTAGAATAGCACTGTGAAAACTATTTCCTGTGCCCTGCCTTTATATCACTGGCTTGTAGATTTTCTACCTTTCTATCTTTATCTCAGTAAAGTTTTCCACCTACTGCTACTGGGATCATTTTGTTGTTATTTTTCTAAGTTCCCTGTCCTTGAGTCCAACCCACCAACAAATAACTGGCAAATCTACAACCATAATGCATAATTAAAAGATACTTTTCTCAGGAACTGTCAGAGCAAGCAGGACAGAGCAACATAAAAAGAGGATTTAGAAGCTCTGAACATTTCATTTAATAAGCTTAAAAATAAGCACATGAAAATTTGAACCCAATAAATAAAGAATACATATTCTTTCTAAATTGCTGTGAAACATTTAAAAATACTAATTAAGCATTAGGCCACAAAGAAAATTTCAATGCTTTCCAAAAACCCAATTATAGGCCAACAATAAATACAAAATTTAATTAAAAACAAGCAACACCAACTCTTAAATGTCTATTGAAAAATAAAATGCTAGCCGAATGCTATAGCTTTTCACATCTCTCAGGATAGGAATTATAATTGTAAAGTTTTTAGCTTGCTTTTTGCATTGTTTTTGTTTCCTCTGAGTTACTTTTTTTTTTTTTTAAAAAGATTTATTTATTTGTGCATACAGAACTGGGGTACAGGCCAGAGGCTCAGGGGCCGTGAGAGGCTTCACCAGAGACAGAGTGGGGAGCAGAACAGGCCGATTGACAAAGTACACTGCTGAGGGGAGCAGTGGGCGGGTCAGGAGAGGTCTGCCATGCCATGTGGTCACCTCCGGGGGAGGTGGGAATTGAACTCATTCGGAGGTGGCTTTAGCTTCTTAGTGCAGTGCTTTAACCCACTGCGCCACCAGGGAGGGCCATCCTCTGAGTTACTTTTAATGGTTGGCTTATTTTAATTGCTTTCTGGTTAGAGTCTCCTTATTTACCTTAATATTTCTGGCTGCATATTCAAGTATAAAAGTAAGACTCTAAAAGCTCATTCAGTGTTTAATGCACATTTTGGGACTTATTGATTAGTGAGTTCCATTTTAAGGTGATAAGTACTGAGATAGTTTTTTTTTTTTTTTAAATTTGAGACTTTCCCCTCTGATAGATGTCAGTATTTTCTCCTGAACAGATCTCCTTTCTGAACAAGGAAACTTCTAATCTTTTAACTGATGCTTAGAGGGCTGGCTGCTGCTGTCATTCTTTGCAGGAAAAACCTCATGGCTCAGCTGGAATTCTCCATTCTAGACCTGTTGTACATGTTTAGAGAGTAGTTCCAAGCCTTTTCTTGAAAGCAGAAGCTACTGCAGGAAAACACTGTCCAGGGCAGTGAGGTAAGTTAGTAGTAAAGTGGAACTCCTTTTATCAAATATTACCAAGATGAGGATTACATGGCCCAGCACTCATCTGAATTTCCTTAATGGATATTCTGCTCATTTGAAGCCAGGTGTTTTCTGTATTCCCCAAATTCCTCAAGAATGTTTCCCTTACTTGTTCTTAAGTTCTATTATGGTATTAACATCATTTCAGATATTTCAGGGTCAACGTGGTAAATTGACATGTCAGTTACTCATCTGAAAGAAGTCCAAGTTATTTTATGAGGACAATTATAGCCTTTCCCAAGTGTCTACTTCGGCTTATTTCTAATTTGGTAGTGAGCATCCTTCTTTAATTCCCCAGTTGTCACAAGAGTGGGGAAACTTCTTCAGCAAGGGCCTGCCCATTAATTGTCCTTATAGATTATAAACTTACTCAAGTATTAGCATGGGTGGACAGAATTGGATTTATAACTCTTCTACTCCAAAAAAGCTATGACCAAAATGTCACAGTGTCCATGGATGCATCTCTGTCATTCCTCCACTTCACAAGTAGCCCCAGGCTACACAGACCACCTGGACTGACTGCTCCTCCAGAAAAGATGCAGCCCAGGGAAAGAACTCACATTATGTTTACAGTCCAGCTCTACATAGAACAACTTGAAGATCCAGGAAATGCAGTTCTTTCGTGAATAGCCTTTTCCTGACTAACTGGTTAGCTTGAACTTTAGAGTTGGTGAATGTTATCTAACAGTAGCTAGACCTCATAAAACCCACTTTACAGCCTACCCTGAGCACTTATAGTCCTTTAGAACTTTTTATATATATGAGTGTGTGCGTGTGTGTGTGTGTGTGTGTGTGTGTACACACATATACACATATATACATTTTTTTTTTTTTGGTGGTGGTTGTTTTTCTAATTTCTCTCCAGAATTTGAGTGAATTTTTTAAATTTGTTTTCCCCTTGCCTAATTTTTTTTCTGGCTAAGTTTATACATGTTATCTTGTATGCTTCTTTGGATGAAGATAATAAATTATTTCTTTCTCCTCCATGACTTCTAACATAATACTCCACCCAAAGAAGGAACTGTCTATGTAACTGAATGAAGAAATAATAATTGAAAGTGAGGAAGCTGAGGCATAGGTATTTCTGAGAAGAAGTTGCTTGCCTAAGTCAGCTTTTTTTGTGTGTGTTCTTGATGCCAGATTCATGTCAGATTCATTCTTATCAACTGTAATGAGAATGAAAATCTAAAATTGAGGCGAAGCATAGGTCTCCTTGAAAATGCTCAGGAGCTGAAGGAAATAAAGACATCGTGTTTTAGCTCTACATCCTGCTCAACAAGTAGCATTTTTAATTAGTTTCTGAAATCAAACTAATGTATAACATGTTGACAAAGTGATGGACATTGAGCTAGTTCCATGTACTCTCTCCCTTGTCTTTTGCTATGCTGTCTTAGAATTGTCTACAGCAAGAGTTCCTAACCCTTCTGGGGTCATTGGTACTTTTCAGATTGTAGCCACAAAAACGTGTGGGCACACATTTTAACTGTCTTAACCAGTTCGTTTACTTCCTGGAGGTATCCAAAGAACATAGCCCAAGAAACTAGGATTTGCTATTTTTTTTTACATTAATGCTTAGGTTATTTATCAAATTTTGAACTGATATTTTAGTTTTCAATAATAAGGGAGTGATCTATGAGGAAACTTCTTTCCATATAAAAGTTGTAATCACATAAAAGTGACAACAATGGATAATCTAAGATTCCTGAGAAGGCAAGAAGATTCAGACGTCAAAGACATGCGATTCACTTGAGGGGCACAATTTCTCTACATTCAGGCTTACAAAGGGTGGACCCTGATCAACAACATCTGCATCACCTGGCAAAATGATAGAAATGCAAAAATTCGGACCCATAAAGATTTACAGAATCACAAATTTTGTGGGTGTGGCTCAGAAATAAGTTTGAGCAAGCGCTCTTGGCGATTCAGATGCTGGAGTCGGACAACCGCTGCGTAAGTCTAATGAAGAGGGGAGTTAGTACTAGCGGAATTTAAGGGCTTGGAGCTTTGAAAGGCACACAATCAGTCACTTCGATATCAGAGGGTCTGCTTTGCTTTCTCAAATACAAAAAGGAAAATAATCCACACTTCCTTCTCTTTTTTAAAGGGTGAGGAACTTAAGGAGTCGGCTTGTAGCCAAGACCAGCTGAGCTTAGGTGGGCTGCAGGAATAAAAAGGAAAAGGAACACAGTTTGGGCGGGGAAAGAACGAGAGTCCACAGCTCCACAGCCCCCAATATACAGTTACTGCCCAGACAGGTCACTGCCAACTCCCCAAACACAGCTCCCGCACCAGGTCAGAGTGGACAAATGCCTCATCAGTAACCCACTTGCGGGTCTCAGCCAACAGGGACCAAACCAGCTTCAGCTACCGCCCAGCGCTCCTACGGCGTCAGGCGGGTCGCCCTGGAGATAGGATGGGCGAGTCCAAAGTGGAGGGGTGTGCATTTCGCCTGACCGGACGCTGACGCCAGAAGGCCCGCCTTTCTCCAGCACTTCCGGCCCAGCCCCAGCGTCGGAGTACTTGGCCAGCCGCTGGGCTCCGGGCAGTTCACGTGTGGGGCCGCGCGCTAGCGGCAGGCGGCAGCCAATAGGCGGAGGCTGCTCAGCCAGTCCGTGCCCTGCGCTCCTTCCGGCGTTCTGCGTGCTGCCCTGGAGACGGGCTGGGCAGACCCAAATGTCTAGGGGTGCTGAACCTGCACAGCCTCGTGCTGCTTCTGCCCGACCCGTCTTTCTCCATTGTGCCACCCCTGGTCTCGGGCAAATGGACTCGTCCAGAGTGGGGACCAGACGCGCTCTCTGCCTGTAGCGGGTCCAGAGGATCCGCGGCGTCTTCCCGCAGGGACCAGGTAGGTGGCAGTGGCGGTGTCAGGGACCAAGTATCTGGGTTTAGGATGCTCTCGGTGGATGCTGGAGAGCGCGCAGACCTGGCGGGATAGCCCTCACCCAGCCCTCTGCTTCGCGGACCCTGCGTTGTTCCCGGCGCTCGTTTCTCTTCGGGCTCTGCTTTGTGTTGGCGATGAGACCTCCACAGCTTTCTAGTGGCCTTGGTTGAGTGTATTCCGACACCTCTTCCAGAGCCTGGGTGCAGGGGGAGTTCGGGCGGTTTTGGGTTTGAAGGCTCCGAAGGTGCATTTCATGGATGCCCCCAAGTTTGGAGTTCTGCGTGGCGCTGCCAGGATTCTGAGCCGGTCTCACCACTGAGGCCAGAAGATGCAGGGAGGCACCGAAACCCACCAGTCCGCTGGTCACAGGCTGGTTGGGGGTGCCTCAATGTTGATTTTTTTGGGGGGGTAGGGTAAAGGGGGGCCGGAGCTTACAGGGTGGGACAGAGCAGGCTCAGAGCCTGCTGTCAGCTTGGTATGTGAATTTCTGCGAGGGGAAGCACTTTGTTGACGGCTCAGTTTTGCGCCTCCTGCCTTTCATGACCCCCAGAAACTTTGGAGCTGTGGCCCAGTGGGTGTGAAAAAGCAGTTGTCCAACTCTGCCTCAAGCTTGGGTCTGTGGGTCTCCGCAGGACGCCAAGATATTGCATTTCTGTCAGAGTCTCAGGTGTTGCTAATGTTGCCCGTGCGGAGTAAAGTGTGTTTGAGAAGAAAGTTCTGGGCTTCACTAGGCTGCCTGCGTGCTGCTTGTACGTAGTTGGTTTCAGAGTTCTTGAAAGTCCGCCCCGCGCATTGTTTCTTAAACGCCTGCAGGTTCTTCTTTATCTTCTGCTTGCTGACTTCTGGATTCTCAGATAATGCCTAGGTGAACACGTGGTTAAAGAGATTTAAAGGACCCACCATTGTTGTGGGGCAACCTGGGGTAGGGCCGGCATGCCGGGGTTGGGGAGGCAACCCAGCGCCTCCCCAGTCCCCTGTGCATCTTAGCGCCCACTTTTCTCTGTACAAGCTCTGGTGTTTTCTCGTGGTCTGGCCCCTTCGGTAGTCACTAGTCCGCCCATACGCCTCTTTTTAGCGGTCTCTGAGTGACGCCGCCCTTATAGCCGCGATGGTAGGCTTAGGTGTGCCCACTTAAGCCTGTCAGCATCCTCCAGGGGTCCACAGTCAGGCACGTGCTCTTGCTCCCCCGCCCAAACCCCCCCCCCATCAACTCCATCAAGGTCGCAGGTGATAGCAACAAAGGCCAATAACGTGATCAATCCGTTTACCCTGCAACCGTGTTTTTGGGAAAAGTAGAAGACTAAACTGGGATGTCTGGGAATCTTGGTTGAGAAAACTATAAGGCAAATGAAAGTCAGTGATTACTTTTGGGGTGAAGGAGGAGTTGTGGTTGCCGTAGAGTGGAGAAGGGTTGCTGGGTTCACTGGCAAACCAGACTTGGGGGTTGCTGGGTTCACTATTCCAGAACTGGAGGGTGGGGGGGGGATGGTGTCTGTTTTATAATCACCAATAAACTACACATTTGTGGGGTTTTCTGTGTTTTATTACATAGCCTGAAAATTATGTGATAAAAAAATGAACATTAGGAAATCTAAGGTGAGAAATGCCCTTGGAGTGTGTAAAAAAAAAAAAATCATGGAATTTCAAATTTGAAAGATAGGTTAGAAGAACTTCTGGCCCAATTCTTGTTTTACTCTGAACAAAAAGCTGGGAGAAGGGAAATGCGGAAGGCACTGTCCTGGTGAGTGCATTAACCTCGGTTGCTCTGCTAAGATGCTGCTTAGTAAAGATTGAGGAAACAACTTTGGCTTGACTCAAATTCACAATTTTGAGACTTTTTCCTTGTGGCCTAAAAACTTGTTTTCAAGAACTATTCTAATCTTACATAAAAACTTGCTATTCAACATCTACCCTGATATATTTAAAGGTAGTCAATTTGTGAACATTTACCATCACGTTATTTTTTTCTTTGTGGCTTTTCTGTTCTAATATTTTTGTCAACTTAATCTTACTTGGTTGGCTTCTTGCTATATAATGACTACAGGCTTCAATTTGGCGAATGTTGGGTGCATGAAGACGGCCAGGCTGTTAGCTGCCAGCCTCTGTGGCTACTACCTGCGGCCTTGAATGCAGGAGGCCGTGGGCGCTTGGGCGTGGAGCTCGCGTGCCTGATGGTGGACACCTGGAGTACTGATGGAGCAGGCGTGCAGGGCGCACCTGAGCCGAGTCACTTAGGAACAGCTGTGGCCCGGTGGCTACGAGAGGAAGAGACCACTAGAGACTACCAGCCCCCGGGACCCCAGCCTCCTTGTCTTGCCAGCCTGCGGGCTTGCCTACAACAGAAAGAGCATTAGAGCCCTGAAAAATCCACGGAGCGTTCCACAACTCTCCTGTATCCATCTGTCTGAATCTATGGAGAATCTGCCATGGGCTTGCTGGCACTATAGTGGGTTTGAAATCAGAATTGATGGATTATAATAGGTAGGTTTTAGGGAGGAAAGGAAATTTAGTAAGACTGCTCATTAAAAGAAATAATAGATGCTAATATGTACCTCTTTTGGTTTTCATTGACTTACATTAAAAATTTATCTTATCTTTTCATGTGATACATATACACAGTGGAATATTACTCAGCAGCCAAAAACAAACAAACAAAAAACAAAAAAATACCTGCCTTTTGCAGCAACATGGATGGAGCTGGAAAAGATTTGCCTGAAAGAAAATGAAAAATACTGGATGGTTTCACTCATAGCAGGAGTTTAAAGGACCAGGCGAGAAAATAATAATAATGATGAACAACTATATACCAGAAACATCTTATGGGTGTGGGATGGGGAATGGGATAAAAAATGGTGAGGGGAGGGAAATGCACTGGACTATAGTGATGGCACATGGGTGATTTGGTGATGGGAAACCCATGGGGATTACAACTGAGATGGAAAAAGGCACAAAATGATGTAAAAATAAACTAATATTATTAAAAATAAAAAAATTCATCTTTTCTACTTGGAGTTAAAAAATTTCACTGGTTTCTCCTCATTTGATCTAGATACAGGAGTGTATAATTCAAATTAATTACTGTAAAAAGAGTTCCCCCATTTTCACATACACTCTTTCACTTTCCCTCATAATTTGAATTTTAGGTGGGACAGATAATTGCCCAGGTGTCCAGATGTTGACTCCCTGTGTTTGCTATTGTAATGGAGAAGCCAAAAATGTATTAAGATACATTGGCTCAAATCTCATTCATTCCTTGATTTTAAGTGCTTTGGAAACAGTTGTCATTTTCATTATTTTCTTAAAAGCTTGTGGATTGAATTCAAGAAAATGAGTGTTGGCTCATGAATTGTTCTTAAGTTTTTTCCTTTAGCTTTGTTCACCTCACAAAGGCACTAGTGTTTAATACTTGTAGATGAATCTTCTGAATTCATAGAATTTAGACTTTATTAAATCACCTTGGTTAACTAATCAAGCAACTAATTTACATTTGGAAATGGCATTTTTTTTTCTTTTTTAGGAGCTAGAGATGCTATTAGGCTGTAATTTCATCGAGAGTGAAAAATCTACCCAGAGATGGAAAACTTCATTCTATACGAAGAGATTGGCAGAGGCAGCAAGACTGTTGTCTATAAAGGGCGTCGGAAAGGAACAATCAATTTTGTAGCTATTCTTTGTACTGATAAGTGCAAAAGGCCTGAAATAACCAATTGGGTAAGTCAGGGTGTTTCCCTGCCTCTGGCAAATGACAGCTATGGTCATGTAGAATAAGTAGCATATTAAAATGAGTCTTCGAATTCACTACAAAAAATGCCACATTTTCAATCTGGAATGAATGACCTGTTTCATGCCACCAATCTTGAATGAGGACTGATAAATAGTCACCCAAGTAACTAGCATCTATGTCTTTGTGTGTGTGTGTGTGTGTGGTGGTGGGGGGGGCGGGGGGAGTGTGTGTGTGGGGGCGGGAGAATGTGGGGGGGAATCAGGAAAAATAGACAATTTACTTTGTTTAGTATAGTATTATGAAGCTTTCCAAAGGAAGGGCATTGAGTGACAGTGACTTGGTTTTAAAATAGTGTGCAATCTGACAGGCCAGGCTTCTTGGACTGAGCCTAATTTTTGCTTTTTAACTTTTGAAAATTGTGCTAAAGTTTGCACAGCATAAAATTTGCCACCTTAACAATTTTTACATATGTGGTCTGATATACTCATTGCTGTGCAGCCACCACCAGAATCCTTACTTTAGATAGTTTTATCTTTTTTACAGCAGTTTTTATATTGCAGCAAAAAGGGAAGACCTTAGATTTTTCCATATGTAGCCCCTCCCTCTCACTTCCATAGTCTACCCATCACTAGCGTACATGTCATGATGTATGAACCTACATGGACATGTCAGGACCTCCCGGAGTCCTTAGTTTCATTAGGGTTCACTCTTGCTCATGCTTGTTCCATGGCTTTGCCTCTCTCTTTCTCTCCAACCCCTGGCAACCACTGATCAGTTTAACTGTTGCCCATAGTTTTGCATTTTCAGACTATCAGAGTCATACAGTAGATTGATTTACTTGTTATTATCTGGTTTTGTGTTTTAAATTGTCATCCTAGTGGGTGTGAGGAGGTGTTGGCTTTTAAAAGGAGTGTGCACTGTTGAGAAAATCAGGTATGTAGGACAAAATGAACTGACTGACTGGTCAGTTCAGCACTGGGAACATACAGAGTATTTCTTCAGAGTGGGTTTTAGTTTTGAGATTTGGAGCAAGTCATGATTTAGGAGTTGGGGAAGTGGAAGATGGTGTTCATGGAAAGAGATGTGAATTGTTACTGGTTGGGGTCATTCCAGATAGAGGAGTATGAATGAAGGTGGGTCAGTAAGTATGGTTTGTGTCTGCTTCAGCTGCTGGGGGTATGTGGAATGTTCTGCAGTGAATGAGCTGGAAAATAAGCGGTGAGAGAATAGATTGCGTGAAAGAGATTTTGAGGATAATATGGTTATTACTAAAAATCTAGACTCCTTCCTAATGGTGGCTACAAATGGATATCAAAGTTCATAGTAGTCACACAGTGAAAGAAGGAAAACAAGTAGGCAAAATTAAGTTTATTGATATTCTTTAATTGAGAATGTACAATGGATTATCATTTTCAACATTCAGTCAATATAAGAACATATGACCAAATCAGTAGTTACTGGACAGGAAGGTGGGGGAAGGAGGGAGGGCAAGAGGGGTAAATTGGACAGTGAAGGATGACGTTAGACCTGTACTGGTGAATATAATAATGTAGTAGGTGCAGATGGGTGGTTTATGAAGATGCACATCTAAAACCTGTGATGTTAGAAAGCAGCGTTCCTTCAGTGCCGGTCCTAGAGGGTGGTCACAGTGGGGGTGGAGGAATGGGAATTGAGGGAATTGAGGGCCCAGCTTCTGGAAGAGTCAGTACTTGGCATATATTGAGGGTGGGGTGTGGGGTGTATTCACAAGGTGTCCAGAATTCTGTTGGAGTTGCCAGGCCTCCCACATTGTTTGACCGAGACCTTCCTCCCTACTGCGCCTGAATCTCATTATCAGTTGAAACATTCTCAGTAAGGGTACCCTTGTGGCCTTCTCCGGAATTTATCACAAGGTGCTCCTCAAATTTTCTTGGTCATTCTGAGTTTTCACTTGCTCCTCACCTGTGTCTCATTTGCAATCATTTTCCTTTGTGTTACAGTGTGAGCACAACTACTTTGTCATACGCCTTATTTCCCAAAATAGGGAACTGTTTTAGGAGAATTCCCACATTGTATTATAGGCCCATAACCCTGTGCTGAGTGATAGCAGAATTTGTGATCTTTTAGAAAGAAAACCAGGAAATGGAACCCAAAGCACTTTGGTATTTGGCAGCAATTCTGGTTCTTGATGGCTTGCTAATTGCATTTCTGTGGTTTTATTCTCTGCATTTAATGGGGTCTCAAAGGGAGAAAGTAAAATCTTTGAAGCAACTTAGT